TTTTGATTTTCTTTATTTTTAGCTTGATTAACAAAGAATTTTCTTTTGTAGTTGTTTTCTAGTAAATTTTGAATTGTTCTTATTATTATAAATTCAAATATAATTTTTTTAAGTGATTCAATTTTTCGATATTTAACAATACTTCATAGAAAAAAGAAATTATTTTGCTGGGTAAGAGCATCTCCAATGATTCATTACTTTTTTCACCAAATTTGAGTAAAAAATAGTTGATTTTCTCAATCTAATACGGATAGCTCCAACGGTGTGCATCAAAAGGAAAGGACATCCGGTGGGTTGACCGGTAAGGCTTATCTCTCCCCACCTTGCTGTAAAAGACACCAACCCACTTCACCATTGAGCCTTTTCTTTTCTTCTCTGTTCTTTTTAGCTTTGATTCACACACTTAACAGTTCTTGCTCTAACCCATCTCTACATTCCAACCATGGAAGAAAGATGGGTGGTTCTAGCCTTCTGGACCTGTAAAAGCACTAATTTTCACCATGTGCCACTGTTATTATTGTTGATGGAAGGCAACCAGTTCGCAGGCTATCGCAGGCCAACCAAAAAATTGAAGCAGATTGAACATGCACCGGTCGACCAGTGGGTCTACCGACCAGACATTCGGCTGGTTGATCGGTTGGTTCACCCCCAACATTACAGCACAGTGAAATGGTGAAATCTGTGCTTGTCCTCAATTTGATAAAAGTTTTGTTCGTAAACAGTATGAGGGTTGTTACAGTCTCCCCTCCTTATAAAGAGTTTAGTCCTCTAAACTCGAGTTACCTTCATTTTGGAAGAAAACAGGGTTCAGTGGAAACAGTTCAGGATATCTTTTAGCCATGTCGTCTTCCCTTTCCCAAGTGGCATACATGCCACCATGGTTCTGCCAGTCGACTTTCACCAACGGGATCTCTTTGTTTCCCAACTTCTTGATTCGTCTATTTACAATCTGTATAGGCCATTCCTCGTAAGTGTAGTCATCACTCAACACTACTCGAGTAGGCTCAATCACATGGAAATTTGTAACCTGTAGTATGTTTTGTTCACATATAATCTGTATTCTGTAATTGGGACTTCTTATAAGGAATAGTCGAATAACATGAAGAACCTCGCCTAGAATACGTATCTGGTAACATGACACCCATTAAAAAAAAAAAAAGATAGGTAGTTATGGACTACCTTGAGATCAAATTAAAGGATTAGGATCTGATAATTTACCGCAAGAACGAAAAACCCCACCTACATGTACTAATGACTCAAGATTGAGAAATCATCATTCTGATATATGTCTGTGTAGATATGCAAATGTTGGATATTGCAAATTAATCCTGTATTGCCTATTTGAAGGCTATAATGTAAACTGTTCTGCATGACGCTGTGAATTTTGACAGAAACAAATGGTTATGGGGATAATCCATAATGATGAGGGGTTAGCGGTACATATTGGGTATGTCACGACCCGCTCCCCGTACCCAAGGGTTAAGCATCGTGATGGCTAGTAACTGAAGTTACCTACGGCCAATTCTTAAATAGATCAATAAACGCAAGCGGAAGTAATATTTAAATGAGGGTACCAAAATAATCATTGGAACTTCTATTTTTATTACAAAATATATTGACAAAAAAGGCCGATATTTACATATAAAAATGCCATAAAAGTGTTGCGTGTGTGTCTATTCCGCAACCCGACTGTCTAAAAGCTATTTCTGAATTGCATGGTTTCTTAAAAGTTGGTAAACAACTATAAGCACATGGTAGAGTGAGAAATATTATACCAAGAGTATAAGGGACACGAAATAACCATGGATAGTTATGTAACCAAAACATTTACATAAACAAATCATTTAAGTAGCAGAAACTGAAATACAGATATTATATAAATAGATAACCATAACCACGGTACAGAACAGAGGTCACAGAAGTGACAGTCAGAACAGAGGTACGGATTCAAAAGGTGGCTCGTACGGATTCTAGAGGTGGATCCCACAATAGTGTAGCACTTAGCTCCGCATAACATTTTGGTTCGCACAGAACAGAGGTACGGATTCAAGAGGTGGCTCGTACGGATTCTAGAAGTAGCTCCCACAATAGTGTAGTACTTAGTTCCGTACAGCACTCTAGTCCGCACAGAACAGAAGTCAATGGATCCATGACAAACAGAGGACCACAAAGTGATCAAATAGAAGCCAATGGTTATTTAAGTCCCCCAAGGCGTGGGACTCCCATGGTGGTACTTACAAAACATAATTGTTTATAAGGTTATAGTCAAATATTCTTTAAAAGTAAAACAAACATATTCATGAGTTTCCTTTTAAGCAAATATAGTTCAGAAGATAAACTACGTAACCGAAATATTAATATAGTTTATAATAATTTATAAAACATAACTCGTGTAAAACAGATTTTGGTAAGTCAAAACATAAGTAAAATACATTTTAGTAACTCAAGGTATAATATAACTCACCTTAACTATAATACCTTACTCTTTCTTTCCACTTTCAAAAACCCTTTCACCTTTCACTATTCTTTCCTTCTATTCCTCTCTTTCTTTCCTTTCTTTCCTTTTCTTCTTTCTTTTCTTTCTCTCTTTTTCCTTCTTTCCGTTCTCTCCCCAGGCGCCTCCGTATTTATAGAGGAAAAGGCGCTATGTGACAGATTTCAATAATAATTATAAAGAGTCAATTTTATCTTTAATAGATATTTATGGTAATTATCTTTAATTTAATATTTTAATATAATTATATAAATAATTTAATTCTTAAGTAAATTACATTTTATCGTATACTAACATAAAATTAATTATTTATTTTAATACTATACTTATTATTATTATTATTGTTATTATTATTTTGACTCTTAAACTTTTAATAATTATATTATTTTACAAAATTACGCATAATAATATATAATAAATTATATATTTTTCGAACTGAGATTAAATAATATTAGTATAAATTCTATAAAATAATTAAAAATCTGAGTTGTTACAGGGTATTCACTTCCTCTTGCATGTTCATACAGATTTGTATAATACGCACTACATGGTTCCGAATTGATTTGCTATCACGTTGAACTAATTTTGCCAAGAATTCTAACTCTGATACTAGTTGGTTAAATCACTTTATCGTTATACTGTTGAATTTCTAGATATTATGGAACCCAAATGGATGTGATTACTGTACACTTAATGAAATTATGACCCTACGAATGAATTTGGTAGGAATAATGTACGCGAAGTAACTGGACACTCTGCCTGTGTTAATTGACTGGACCGGATGACTGGTCTATAATTTCTGTATGGGTGTTTGCTAACCCACTGTAATTATAAATTGTGAATACAAACCATGTGGTTGATCTTGTACCCTACAGTAGGAAGAGAAAGAATTAACTGAATTGTGGAATACTGAGATGATTAAAAAGAGGTCAAATTAATTTGTAATACTTGTTGAGAAAGGATGTGCATCTGACTGTTATGACTGATTAATTAAACATGATTTTAAATTCAATTTCTGCCCTTACCTTTGGAAGGCTTCCTTTGCTTGAAAAGATGGTTGTTATACTTGTTTCTATTGCTCGGATCCGAACTTATGATGGTATGACTAAGTGTCAATCATGGCACACCTGCATGAATTAACAAAAGTATATGCTACTTGTTTTGGAGCCTGTTAGAAATCTAATTCGAACTGATAAGTCTAATTCTGATTACTGAGCAAAGCGCCACAAAGTCGTTGATTTAGGACTTGTTTGTTATTCTGGGTTTAATCGTTGAAAGATGTATGTGCCTTTGAAACATGATTAAGTAGTGAATGTTTCCTCGACCTTTGAGGACTTATGATAGTTGGGGTCGTGTGTGAACCTAAAGAGTTTGAACTATGTTTGATAGCTTATGAGTCACATGTAAGCGAATACTTGAAGTGAATCCATTTCTGAATACCCTTAAATTATTATATTATTTGGAAGGAATGACTTGGGGATCAATAAATTGAAATGTACGAGGGTTTTGAACAATGAGATAATGCTTTGATGCTATTGAGTACTATTATCATTTGGGCTACCAATTAGCTAGTAAAGATGAATTACTTGTGATTCTGGGAGCAAATTCCATTGAAATTGACCGTATAAGACTATGAATGACTAAATAATTGAGAATTGTTGCCTACCTAAGACGGCACTTGACTTGTGGCAGGATAAATCAAGTTTGGAGGACCAAACTTCTTAAGGTGGAGAGAATGTAACGACCCCAAAATCCGTATCCGAAATTACTTTCATGTCCTTGTGGGTTAATGCATTTTAATTTAATAATATCTGTTCAATTGAGGAAATTATTTGTTGAGTCACGGCTTAAAAATTGAATTACCGACCTTTACGGATCCAGAAATCAAAATTGAGTATTTGGGTATGTTAATGGAAATTTTTAGAACTACTTGGGAAAATTAATTGGAAATCTAATTTGTCTGATTCGTTAATGTGCGTTTGGAAGATTAACTTTATACTGTAAATTGAGGGCCTTAGAAGCTTCAGAACCCGGAACAGAGGACATATTTCAGATCAACATAATTTTTAGAGTCATCTAGAAAGTTTAATTAAAATTTAATTTTACGCAATTCGTAAAGGCGTGTTTGGCCTCCCTATTGTGAAAAGCTTATGTGTTTGTTATATATATATATGTGTGTGTGTGTGTGTGTGTGTGTGTGTATGGCAGTGTCTTTAGCACCCCGCTGGAGATGGTTATATATAGCAACAGCTCTATATATTGAGGTAAGTGTGCTCAACATGTGTATACTGCTATTTATTGCTTTCACATTGTAAATTATTGATGTAGATCGATCAATCCCACCTAATTCAAGTAATGCTCTTGAGCTAAGACTGGTGTATTGTAGAATTATTTTGCCTGATGGAGGCAAAACGTCTTATCTCAAGATAACTTTTTTACAATTAAATGACTAAAATGTTCCCCCAAGATAAGTTATCCCATCTGATTCTATTCGGGAATCAAACATGGCAATAGATTGTCAACACCAACGAACACAAGCCATCAACTGTTGAATTTAAATGCATTTCATACTAGAATTAATTTTTGTCTGCTTCCACAAAAGTATAGTCCATCAACTTCACAATATTGACACCTCTGTGATAGCAATACAGTCTTCTATTTATAGAAACACCACAGAAATGCAGGTCCATAACAAACCTCATTTGTCCGCCCTTGTTTTCTCCTCTCTATCTTCATTGTGTAGATATGCTAGCAAAGCAGCAGTAGGAACTGAGTAATACAAAATTCGAGAACTCTCGTTTAGTAAGACCCCTCTACTGAAAGGTGGAGTAATTCCTGTATCCCTTCACAAACCTACATCGATCCAATAAATGAAGTGCGTTTTCAAATGTTTTGAAATATATAAGGGGTGGGGAAGGGAAGATAAAGCTAGATTAAATATAAATCACAATTAACATACCATCATAATCTGGGCTTTGATTGATGCGATTAGGTGTGTGTACTCCTCTATTTGCCTGAAAGAGCAGTATCTAGTGATAATCAATTTACATGTGTATCATGCCAAGAACCAAACAAAAGAACCGGACCTCATTTACAATAACCAAGTAGTTAAACACATAATAAAAAGGATAAGGAGGATCATCTCCAGTCTAGATTTTAGACTGAAGCTCGCTGTTTAGGTTCATGGGGCTCATCACGGGTCTCATTTCATTTTGTTGGACACTTCGTGTATTTCATTCGCACAAAAAATTAGGTCAATTCAATAATTGTAATTTGTTCAATTTTTCACCAAAAAAATAGACAACAATTGTGTTTTTAAAAATAAATCATATATTTTTGGACGAATTATGCTAACGGTCCCTATAGCTTGGGCCTTGTATCACTTTAGTCCTTGACTTTTCAATTGTAATACATTTGATCATGAATTTTGAATCTTGTTCCAAATAAGGGCAATTGAAGATACCATTACTCAATTTCAAAGACAAAGTCGTTAATTTGATAAAATATAAACTAATTTAACAAAAATAAAAGTTAAAAAAATATTTTTTAATTTTTAAAAATTATTCTACCTACTAAAGATAAAATTATGTAAAATTAATAAATTTTTTAGACATTTAATTTTTTTAACCAAATTAATTTTTATTATGTGTTTGGATAATGATCATGTAATGAGTGGTTTTTTTTTTCATTAAATTAGTTTCTATTTTTTCAAAAGTCAAATATAGTGACAACTTTGATATCATTATTAAACTAATCTATTAAATCAAAAAAATTCAAAACTAAAAATATTTCATATATTAAATATTTCGATTATACATTAAAAGCTCAACAACTACTTATTACATAATTATCATCCAAACACATAATAAAAATTAATTTGGTAAAATAAATAAATAAATAAATGTCTAAAAGATTTATCAATTTTACATAATTTTATCTTTGGTGGATAGAAATTATTTTTAAAAATTCGAAAATATTTTTTTGGCATTTATTTTTGTCAAATTAGTTTATATTTTATGAAATTGACGACTTTTCCATTGAAATTGAACAATGGTATTTTCAATTGTCCTCATTTGGAATAAGATTCAAAATTCAAAGTTAAATGTGTCACAATTGAAAAGTCAGGGATCAAAGTGACATAAGCCCCAAACTATAGGGACTGTTAGTGTAATTCGCCCTATATTTTTTTAGTGACAAACAAAATAAATTGAACAAGTTATAGTTATCGGATTGACCTAATTTTTTTTTGTGAATGAAATAAACGAAGTGTTCGACAAAATAAATTATTCGGATCATCAAAACGGAAATTGTGGTGAACTTCACTGTCCAAACAGCACCTAGCAGTCCAGATTCTACACCAGTGGGAATCCTATTCCAAAAAGAAAGAAAAAAAGAAACAAAAGAAGAAAATGAAAGAATAAAGACATTTCCTCTTTAGGCAAGTGTCTTACTGATCCTTGACATACTAATGAAGAAATATCCATGAAGGGCAACATTCTAGATTGGCATTTTACTTTACATCGTTGTTTGTACCTTAAATGGAAACAGTTGACTGGGCCACGTGGCATGGAAGTTGCGCCACGGAGGAAAAAGAACAACTCGAGGTAGTTGGAGATAGAATAGCCATCGAGATATGTAAAAGTCCCTAAAAAGAATATTTTTATTATTTGCAGTATATAACACTTAAAAACTCAAATGCAAAAAATAATCAAAGTTTTTTTTATAATAGTCAAAAAACGAGTTCTAAGTATTTTTTATATTTTTAATAAATGTAAAAATAGTTTATAATTTCTAAAAATAGACACAATATAATTGTTTCAGTACCTTTACATTTTAAAATTACATTTATGCCACAAAGCACCCAAAACAAAACCATGTAATATCCGAGTTGTACCCATATCATACGGGTACCTTAAGATTTTGTGTACCTCATACATGTGTAGTTGCACTAGTACGTATATCCGTATTAGGTAAGTACCTGGTACTCATAAGGCAATATTTTTAAAGTACCCATGCGCCATAACTTCTAAGACATTACCATGTCCCTATCAGAAACATGTTAGACACTTCTCAACACGTGTAACACAATTGGGAGACACATGTTTGTCACTTAGACAGAAATGAAACATATTACAAGTTTAAAGAAAACAATTTGAAATCCAATGATGAAATAAAAGCTATGAAAAATTATACATATTAAGCTCCCCTCCTTTAGACGTTGAGAATTAATATTATGTTGTATTTTTTTTTTATCTTTAAACATATAATACATGTATAAAACTATATATTTTGTCCAATTTCCCAACGTGTGATATCCCGTATTTTTTTAAAATTATTGTGTCGACGTATTCATGTTGTGTGTCCAGTGCTTCTAAGATTTCAATTATGGAAGGGAGACAAAACCAAATAACCAAGTGAAATCAGAAACCTTTACGCCTCAAATTTGAGGAACCATTATGTTCATAGCTAAAATTGGAAAGCCTAATTGGGAGTGGGTTGGAGATAGATAAAGGGGATGCCAGATGGATCTATAAGTTCTGGATTCAATCACATTATCTCCTAGTTGTAGTAATGGGAACAAAAAAATAATAATTGAACAAAAGTATAATAAAGATGGATTTGAACTCTCAAACTATAATGAAATGACACATTCAGTTCCACATTCAATAGCTCTGCTGTTCAGTCAACAGAATAAGCTATTCTTTGTAGTGATTACAGAGACTTGATATATGAGAAAGTGGAACTTGTCCATAAGGAACTACTCCTAAAGACCATGAGATGGTACTCTAAATAATCTCAAACAACTTCAAATTGTTCTATAAATTAATTCCTTTCCAGCATGCAATTTTGTTGATACCCATATCTTCACCCATGCATTCTGGGTCCCAGTCATTATACTTAAAAATAAAAAAGGAATATAAAAATATATATGTATATATATAAAAAAAACTTTCAACAAGCAATTTCGATCAATTGGTAAAAAGCATAAAAATGTGGCCATGTGGGAAATTACCTGGCTAGCTTCTCTTCCCTTGCAGTTATATAATTTAGAGCTTCAGACCAGGTGAACTCCACATGAAATCCAAGTCCAATATCTACAAATATACGCCTTGTATCTGGCTTATAGATATGAAGGCAACCCCGCAAAAAATAATTAATTAATTAATTAAATAAAATTGACATTAAGTTAAAGTATAGATGGTTTTACAATTACTAATAGTCTAGGAAGCACAGACACTTCTACCAAGGTGGCTTGACATGTCTATGCCCGACAAGTGTTGGATATCGATATTTATTTGACACTTCTAGACATGCCCATATATTTTTAAAAAATATAGAACTTGGACTAGCTTTGAACACTTACGGGACACACATGTCTATCATTTTAGATGCGCATAAAACACGTTTGGAAAAAAAAATTAATGCTAAATGAAAAACAAGTAGACTTACAAATATTAATCAATCATCCTTAAAACTCTAGAAATTCATGTTATATTGCATATTTTTATTAACTTTGACTAAATAAAATATTCATCTATACGAGATATAATAAATATATAAACCATATACAAGTTGTGTCCTATATTTTTTTAAAAAGTGTCATGTCAGAACTTGTCCATGTTCACGTTTCTTAGCAAAACGAATTTCTCAAAAATGGTGAGATGGAAATAAATTTTACAGTGTCAAAAAGACATTTATAGTAATTATACAACAATATGTACTTATAATAATTGTATTATATACAATTATATAAGAAGTGTCCATTGAAAAATATCCGACACATATCCCATACCCTTGTTCGAGTATCGGGTGTCCGACACGGGTATTTGATTTATTTTGAAGAGTCCGTGTAACAGAGGTATTAGGTAAGTACCTGGTACTCATAAGGCAATATTTTTAAAGTACCCATGCGCCATAACTTCTAAGACATTACCATGTCCCTATCAGAAACATGTTAGATACTTCTCAACACGTGTAACACAATTGGGAGACACATGTTTGTCACTTAGACACAAATGAAACATATTACAAGTTTAAAGAAAATAATTTGAAATCCAATGATGAAATAAAAGCTATGAAAAATTATACATATTAAGCTCCCCTCCTTTAGACATTGAGAATTAGTATTATGTTGTATTTTTTTTTATTATCTTTAAACATATAATACATGTATAAAACTATATATTTTGTCCATTTTCCCAACATGTGATATCCCGTATTTTTTTAAAATTATTGTGTCGACGTATTCATGTTGTGTGTCCATATCCGTGCTTCTAAGATTTCAATTATGGAAGGGAGACAAAACCAAATAACCAAGTGAAATCAGAAACCTTTACCCCTCAAATTTGAGGAACCATTATGTTCATAGCTAAAATTGGAAAGCCTAATGGGGAGTGGGTTGGAGATAGAAAAAGGGGATGCCAGATGGATCTATAAGTTCTGGATTCAATCACATTATCTCCTAGTTGTAGTAATGGGAACAAAAAAATAATAATTGAACAAAAGTATAATAAAGATGGATTTGAACTCTCAAACTATAATGAAATGACACATTCAGTTCCACATTCAATAGCTCTGCTGTTCAGTCAACAGAATAAGCTATTCTTTGTAGTGATTACAGAGACTTGATATATGAGAAAGTGGAATTTGTCCATAAGGAACTACTCCTAAAGACCATGAGATGGTACTCTAAATAATCTCAAACAACTTCAAATTGTTCTATAAATTAATTCCTTTCCAGCATGCAATTTTGTTGTTACCCATATCTTCACCCATGCATTCTGGGTCCCAGTCATTATACTTAAAAATAAAAAAGGAATATAAAAATATATATGTATATATATAAAAAAACTTTCAACAAGCAATTTCGATCAATTGGTAAAAAGCATAAAAATATGGCCATGTGGGAAATTACCTGGCTAGCTTTTCTTCCCTTGCAGTTATATAATTTAGAGCTTCAGACTAGCTTTGAACACTTATGGGACACACATGTCTATCATTTTAGACGCGCATAAAACACGTTTGGAAAAAAAAATTAATGCTAAATGAAAAACAAGTAGACTTACAAATATTAATCAATCATCCTTACGCATAAAACACGTTTGGAAAAAAAAATTAATGCTAAATGAAAAACAAGTAGACTTACAAATATTAATCAATCATCCTTAAAACTCTAGAAATTCATGTTATATTGCATATTTTTATTAACTTTGACTAAATAAAATATTCATCTATACGAGATATAATAAATATATAAACCATATACAAGTCGTGTCCTATATTTTTTTAAAAAGTGTCATGTCGGAACTTGTCCATGTTCACGTTTCTTAGCAAAACGAATTTCTCAAAAATGGTGAGATGGAAATAAATTTTAAAAAATAGAACTGAAATATAAAACTTTTGGTGCAACAACTTATGGAAAGTAAAGCACTTCCATCATTAGATTGGAATCTTAGGATTATGGTTGCCCATTGACCACAGGTTAATGGTTCACCTAACATAATTGTTACTGTAAGACAAAGTATATAACCCATCATTGTGGCAAGTTAGTCCCATATTAATAGTAAGGAAAAGTAGCAGTTGACTGAATAACAAACAACAAAAGAACCAAACTACAGAATTTGAGGTTATAGAATTTTCATATAACACATCAAGATATAGAATTTTCATGTAACACAACAAGATACATACATAATATGAGCACACATGCAGCACTAGAATATTATGCACATCAAGTATAATTAGAAAAGATATGATGATATGAAAGACTTACACATCAGTTTGCATGTGCACTTCAGAAGTGATATTGACCAATGTCCTGAGACTGGTTACAATATTCTTCTCCAAATTTTTTATGTTTTTTTCTCAAATCTGAGCTACAAGTTCAAGAATTAAGTAAAAAACAGATACAAACAAAAATTGTCAATGTTGGTGCGAAATTTCAAAGTTTAGGAATGCCTACAATAAAGGACAATCACTTCAGAAGTATACAAGCAACTCGGTTAAATCAAAAGAAAAACCTAGACATTTCAAGAAACATGACATAAAAAGGGGGCTGAAGAAGGATATAACACTTTTTGTTTTTCGAAGACTTTGTCCCTGCAAAACACAAAAAAAAGTTAGGGGGATTCATGTAATACTCAAAACTAAATGCTTTAGCTACTTCTCAAGTCTCAACTCAACAAAGTGACAGAGAATTATCCCCTTTCTAGATCAGGCAACACATCCTATCACTACTTCATTACTTATCCCACTTCTACAAAAAGCTAGTGGATCAACCAACCTTGAGCAGAAATCTAAAAGTCCAAACGTATCCTGTAACAAAATGTTAAACTTGTGCTAAAGGACTACTGCCACTTGGATTTTCAGAATATCTCAAAAGACATGAAGCAATTGTCCATACATACACATAAAAACACGCACTACCGATCCAAAGTACATCTTCGATACTCTACTCAATTGATGGCCATCGGTACTTCTAAACAAGCAAGTATATCTTTAATACCCTTCTCAATCGAATTGACAATCCATCGACACTTCTAAAGAAGCAGCGTTTACCAGTCATAAGCAAAACCAAACCCAAATTTATTATAGAAAACATTCATAAAGAAACTGGTCAAAGTGAGAGAGTAAGACAAGGGGCTAGATTTCTGGCCCAAGATAAAAAAGCTAGTCCATTCATACAACTAAAAAACAAAATCATTCCAACTAATGAGCTTCCACTTAGGACGACACTAGCCAACATGTACCTATAATTATTTCAAATAGCAGCAACAAAATTTTACCAATAGAAACCACAAAGAGCATAATTGGTTATTTTCATCGAAAGGTAATAAGACAAATGATGCAATTTCATGTGTCATGAATCATGGTATAAAGGGGTTCTAAAACTAGACCAGGAAAAGAAGATACTCTGACTCTCCTTGCCAGTTCAATAGAGGGTGGATGATCAGTAATAAACAAAAAAATAAAAAATTTGGAAAATGTACCTTTCAGCAATAGCACGAACAAGGTCCAGTTTTAAGCGATGATCTACAAATTCCTCAAATCTTTGCACCTTTTCTTGTCGGATATTATCCATTTCTATCCTATAACAGGATGAATTCATCTTAAGCATACTCATACCAAGTTTTGACCTTGCAAGAGATTCAATGCTCAAGCAGTAATGCTCCGATGGGTTTTGTGCCATTTATGAAAGAGTTAATTACACCAAGACTGTGATAATTCCGTACTATGTTAATTGGTTTTTATTATTAATATGATTATGTGTTTGATATGTTTATGTGTATCATTTATGTGGAAATATGTGGTTTTGAATTTTTATCTGTTCACCGTAGGAATATCTGCTTTGGGAATCAAATTGAAGGCCTTATCGGCCACGAAACCCGAAATTGACTACGCCATTGTGATTAGTGTAATTTTTAAAGCCTACGGTGAAATTTAATTGGAAATTGATTCGGATCAGAATAATTAGATTCAGAACGATTAATTAAGTGCCCAATTATTTAATATTGATATTTTTGATTAGTGGGACTTGCCTTAAGGGCACTATACACTCAATATCTCTTTTTTATTTCATTTAACTGATTTTAGGCTCCTTAGAGAGTGAGAGAACCGAATTAGAGAGAGAGAGTGTAGGAGATTGAAGATTTCTCAAGAAGCTTGAAGATTTTGGAGTGTAACTCAAGAATTAAGCATAAGTTTGGAAGATTAAAGCTCCAAGGTGAGTAATCAACCCTTAATTCATGAGTTTAATGTTGTGATTTTGTGAATTCAAGTTGGTTGGTGACCAAGAAATGGAATTGTGTTGTATTTGATGTATTTGAGGTCCATGTGTGCATGCATGTAGAGAATTGCTATGAAATTGCATAATCTAGCATGTAATATGTGAATTGCGAAGAATTGAGCATTGTAGCATACATACAAGCATGGTTTTGTTAACTTTCATGTTTATGAGCATCATTGGTGCTATTTGAAATGGAAATGAAGTAAAAAATGGACATGCATGTTGATTTATGTAAGATATGAAGCCTATGTAAAGTTTGAATGTATGAACCTTGAGTTTACCAAGAAATGTTGATTAATTTGGAAGAATTGGGCCATGATTTTGAGCAATTGACCCCACCTTGCTTATATATTCATGTTATATAATGTGTTTGCATGCTTTGGAACCAAATTTATGGGTTTTGAACCTTGGAAGGTCGAAATTGAGCTCAAGAACAATTCTGGATTTTCCAGAATTTATGATGTCCGCTCGAGCGTGGGAATCGCTGCTCAAGCAAGGAATACGTGCTCCCAGAACTTTTTGCAGACATGGCGTCCGCTCGAGCGGGGGAGTTCACGCTCGAGCGTGGAGCTATGTGGGATGACCTTCCGCTCAAGCGTCCGAGTTCGTGCTCGAGCATCGAATTGATGTAACCAGAACTTTTGCAGACCTTTTGGGTCCGCTCGAGCGGGGAAATCCACGCTCGAGCGGGGACCCTGTTTCTGAAAATTTTGAAAGTGCGTTCTATGTTTCGTTTTTCGTTCCCTTTCACCTCTAAGTACTCTTAGGCATGCGTTAAACATTGTAAATGAGATAAGAAGATAAGAATGAAGCCGAAAGAGGAAAATGTGAATTTAGAATGGATTGAATTGTTTGTGACCCTTTTGTGTTCATGGGATGTGTAGGGTCGAGCTCCAGGGCAAACCAACCAACCGATCACTGTGAGTAACATCTTAACAAAGATATCTGAAATATGTTGTTGTCCAAATTACTTACTTCTATGTAAGTTTTATAAGTTCGTTGATTTGATTGGTGGACAATGTTGCTATGAATAAATGAATGGACCAGAAGCCAATTTGATCTGAATGATAGAGTGAATAGGCGAGAGGCCGTTTTGACAAGAATAAATGGATGGGCCAGAGGCCGTTTTGACATGAATGAATGGGCTAAAGGCCGTTTTGACATGAATGAATGGGCCAAAGGCTGTTTTGACACGAATGAATGAATGGGCCAAAGGCCGTTTTGGCACGAATGAATGAATGGGCCAGTGGCCGTTTCGACATGAATAAATGAATGGGCTAAAGACCAGTTTGATACGAATAAATGAATGGGCCAGAGGCCAGTTTGATCTGAATGGGCCAAGTGCCCCGAAAACTGGCTGTTGAGCACCAAAAGTGGCGTACGGCCACAAAAGTGGTCTCCCGGACCACCGTGTCCCTCTAGACAGAGGAAATAAGGTGTGTTCCAAAAACCATGCCAAACGAAGAATGTTAAGCGGTCCCGAGCCGAGGCGCGCGGCCGACGGCTCCGAAAACTGGAAACAAGTCTCCAAACAGGAACAGTGGCCTACGACCACGAAAAGTAGTCTACGACCACTGAGAGATGGTCTACAAGACCTCTCCCTCCCTCCGGGAAGAGAAAACAAGACTTAGTTCGTAGATCGAGTCAAAGTACAAAGAGTCCCGAGGTCCGGAGGTGAGGCTCTTAGCTAAGAACTCCGAAACCTCGAAACGAACACAACATGCGCAATCACCGAGCGCTCAATCGATGACGTCTGAGTCTTAAGGTCGGTCAAAAATGGGGTGTCTACAGCTGCCCCTCTTTGACAGAACTCGAAAGTCATACGTGACGGGAGTGAATGTCAAAGCCTAGAGACGACCCATTTTTGACAAGGCTGAAGACTTAGACAAACAGGCAAGATAACAAAGAAATGTGCCCGCAGGCAGGGGCAAAATGCAAGTGACAATGCAAGAAGCCGAACATAACTTATGATCATGCAAAGAAAGTTGTAATGAAGCAAATATATGCAATAAATGCAACAATTTTAAGCAAGAATGTAAATCAAACTACATTTCATGCAGTAGGAATGTAAGAGAATTATGCAATTCTCGCTACGTCTCACACGGAGAATACAATACCGTCCGGTTCGTCTGGTCGCACCAGCTTCAAATGAACCGTACATACAATATCGTCTGGTCGCA